AGCCCTGCGTCCTCACGACTCCTAACAAAAGCCGATATAAGGACGACGGGGCAACGTGAACTAATTGTCGGACCCCTTCTCCCCTTACCCTTCTCTGGTCCCTAATTATGACTAGAATCTGATACCTTTAATCCTTTAACACCTCTCCCCCCTCTCGCCCTAGTTACTAGTGGTTGATTGCTTAAACTTTTGTTATCTCTACCCTTCCTTATATTAATGTAGTCGCCTGATGACAAAAGAGATTCTAGAAGTTCTGCACGAAGACAGTTGGATAATTATGGTCTGGGCATCAACAATAGTCATACAAGGAGGAGGTTCCCACAAAAATAAAACGTACGCAGTTGTGAAGAGTCAGAACGAAGTGGAACCGACAAAGAGAAAATAGACCGGAATAGTCACTTCTGTCTTATTAGCCGTCATCAGCCAGTCATACGCAACCCCAGGTGTGGATCACCCGAGGCTCGAACCCGGGATATCTGGTCATGGAGTACAACACAACAACCACTGCACCACGGGCTTGTTGTTTTTGTCGGCTGCGATTGGGAATATGATGATGAATGGTAGGGGGCTCAGCGGTCTGGAAAGGGAACACTTTGTGTCTCGTTTTACGTGCAATGCTTTGTGGGATCGGGCGGAAAGGTTTCACCATGAAACCGGCTGTGATGAGTTACAGACCCCAGCAGTTTTCCAAACGGACGAATGAGTGGACCACTGTCCAATGTCAGACAATTATCGGAAGAGTAATTAGGCTGAAGATAACTGCCCAGCACAATGAGTGCCGGCTTTGTGCGTAGCGAGCATATTTTTCAGATTTTCACTACCGGCCTCTTCATTGGATTCCCATTCCAGTTTGTAGTGTGCGAATGTTGTATACGCCAACAGTTGTCCGCTCTGTCAAGCATAGCTTAGGAGTGCCAGTATTGGAAGGCTTTTACCAAACCGATCGCCTCTTGATACGCTCTTTGAATGACCGAAAGTGGTCTGTGCGCGCCAGGTAACTGGTTGTCGAAGGGAGTGCCTTGTTACAGTAGGTCTCTGTCTGTGTGTTTTCTACAGAACCGATTGAATCCTGATCGCAATGTTGGCAGGGTCGACGGTCAGGGCGTTGAATCCTGCTGCATGTTTTGGTGTCATTTCTTGAAAGGATGCAGTGTAACGTGACGCAGTTTTTTACTAAATTTATTGATAAACTTGCTGGCTCCTAGAGTTCTGGTTCACGTGCCGAACACTCGTTGGTAGTGTGGCAGCGCTCTGTCTCGTTCACTGATCGTTGCTGACGGTAACCAAGTTTACCAAAAGGAATTTGTGGTTTGCAGTACGAGTAGAGATCTCGCATGGCGTTTGAGTTGGGGAGATAAAGAGATGTTTGGACACCCTCTCCCCTAATAATTAAGTA